GAAGCCAAGCTCCCTACTCTACCCAGGCCCACTGTTTCTGTTACTTGGAAACAGAATTTCCACCATTTCAAACAGCACCAAACTACTCTGCAGAAAGATGTGATGTTGGAGATTGGTTCCAGTCACCACACAGCTTCTGAAGTAATTTCCACCATTTCAAACAGCACCAAACTACTCTGCAGAAAGATGTGATGTTGGAGATTGGTTCCAGTCACCACACAGCTTCTGAAAATACACCAAAAAGTCCACGACGGATGTGGCAGATTTTTCCCTATGTGGGATTATTCTGGGCAAAACAAAGAACTAAGAAGAGAGTCTGGCCTCAGCTCTGCTATCAAGTCTGAGAGAAAAGCATCGTATTTTCCTGCCCCCATTTTATAGGCAGAGGGAGTAACCTGCCCATGTATCACTGTGAAGCCAGGACATTGTCCCCTCACTCTGTGCTTCCAGGCAGACTGCACCACAGCTTGTACTAGGTGACCAACTGTCCTGGTCTGCCCAGGACTGAGGGGGTTCTTGAGATATGGGACTTTCAGTGCTAAAACCAGCAAAGTCCCGGGCAAAACCTGATGAGCTGGTCAACTTAGCCTGTCCCCAAATTAGCAAGTTTTAGCCAGAGGTCACCAGCCTTCCATCCTGCTCTGGAATTGGCTGCCCATGGTAGCTGGAAATGAACAGAGTGCCATCTGACGGGGTAAGATGCTTGCTTCCTAAGAAGCTGTGCAACAATGGTCAAACTGCTATAAAAATCCTCCCAAGGCCGGGCGTGGGGACTCATGCCTATAATCTCAGCACTTTGGGAGGCTGAGGCAGGCAGATCACAAAGTCAGGAGTTTGAGACCAGCCTGACCAATTTGGTGAAACCCCGTCTCTACTAAAAATACAAAAACTAGCTGGGCGTGGTGGTGGGTGCCTGTAATCCCAGCTACTCAGGAGGCTGAGGCAGGAGAATCATTTGAACCCGGGAGGCATGGGTTGCAGTGAGCCGAGATCATGCCACTGCACTCCCAGCCTGGGCGACAGAGCGAGACTCCGTCTCAAAAAAAAAAAAAAGCCTCCCGAGATGCCTTGCCCCATTTTCAGCAGTTCTGCTCCATTCTTTCAATGATTCTCTTTCTTCTCAACTATGAACCTCTACCTGAAGCAAGAGAAATGCCAGGTACAGTGGCTGGTGCCCATAGTCCCAGCTGCTCAGGAGGCTGAGGCAGGAGAATCACTTGAGCCCAGGAGTTCAAGATTACAATGAGCTATGGATCGCACCACTGCACTCCAGCCTGGGCAACAGAGCACTTTAAAAAAAAGTGAGGGAGGGTTCCTTCCAGATAGCCCATGACCTAGGATTCTGTGAACATCCTCATGAATGTGGAAACTCCCTGAGTTCCTCAAAGGCTTTGGATTTCTCTTTGTAAAGGAAGCCAACCTGAGCAAAATGTTCCTGTGATTCAGAAGACAACAGGAGGCTGATCATCCTATCCCTCAGGGGTCACATGACATGTCATCCAAAAGACACTGAGGTCTGCCTTAATTATCAGTGAGATGGCCTCCTCTGATTCCTGGCCTATTTTCCAGAGTTGGTTTCTTGCATAATTGATAGAGCAGAGAGTAAACCACCTTGCCCTGTGACAGTCTGAGAAGTCACATTTAAGGATGAGTAGGTCAGATGCCTTGAGGAAACAGCATCTTGGGGCTAACACACCCTGTCCATCAAAGGCATTGCAGTCCCTCCCATCAGAACTGCTTTATTTTCAGGAACTCCCCAGGGCTATGTGAGAAGACAGCCCCCAGTGACCCGTTAGGGCACCCTCAGGACCTTCCTGTTGAGCTTTTGCTAGTTCTGATCCCAAAAAAAACCCATCAGGAATGCTTCCCTCAGTCCAGCACAAACTCCTCTAGGGAGACTCCAGCCCCTAATGTCCCAATCCAAGGATGAGAAGCATCTGTCCACCCCATTCCTTAGACAAAAGGGCCTTGAAGGGCCATTTGGGAAGGGACTGACACTTAGGAGAAAGAGATGGGCTGAATCAGGTGCCATCCCCAGCTGTTCACCCAGAGAAGCTTGTGAAGCTCAACAACAAACATGATGCCTTCCACAAGCCAGGCATCGTGGCCAGGCCACCAGAGAATCCCTGCCAGGAATGGAATCTGGAACAGACTCTATGGTCAACCATTCCCAGATTAGAGGAATCAGAGGCCTTGGACACCAGCACCACAGCATCTCCATCCTGAGGCTGCATGGGGCCATGCTGGCTGGGGGACAGGCTGGGGAGAGCCTAGCTCTCTCATGCATTAGAGAGCACCTGGCCCACCTCCATGCCATCCTACCTCCAGAATGTCAGAGAAGATCAGCAGCCCAGCTGCCTGGGAGCCTTCTCTTCTCGGCTTCTGGGGAGCAACTCTGTTGCTGAACAGGGCTGGAAAGCTGTAATTATTGAGACAGGATAAGAGCTATTTTAGGAAGGAGCCATCCTGTTGCCAAGGCTTTTGACTTACTAAACTAAAACATGATGCACACAAAAAGGGGGTGAGGATGGGGGAGAACAGGGAGGAGCTTGCTCAGTCAAAAACATCAAATCTTGACTGAAGGAAAATATTAACCCCTTCCCAAAGGTACAGATTTGCATCTAGGGGTGAGCAAAAGGCTAGCTAAGACACCACCATCCCTTGGCTTTGGGAAGGAGGGCCTACCCATATCCCTGACCCCCTACCCATATCCCTGCGAACTCCCTCTCTCCTAAGACCCTCCAAGAGCACTTACTCAGTCTGTTCCATCTATTTTGACATTTCAGCACCAACTATTTCATATTGTTGTTTAAATGTTTCCTGTTTGTGTTTTATCTCCCCAACCATATCATGGCAAGTTTCTCAAGGCCAAGGAATGTGTGTGCTGTGAAACTTCAATGCGTCCCCTAAAAGTGCCTAGTAGAGTGCTAGGCATCTGAATAAAAATTGTTCATTGAAAGAAGGGAGGGAGGAACGAAGGAAGGAAGGGAGAAAGGGAGGGAGGGACTTACTGTCTTGCATGGAGATAATCTCTGAAAGTAGCCACTCCCACCTACAGCTGAGCTCAGGGTTGGATAAGAACCCATGGCAGTGGGAGGTGGCAGCCTTGTTTCTGGTCACCTCCCCTTCAGCTGTTCCATTATCTGAGCTTAGGTTGACCCCCACTATGCACTCATTTGCTTTCTATCTGTGGCCAACTGTCCATCCTGAGTCAGCCCATGAATGGGACCCATTAGAGGCCATTGTTAGGCTTTGGGAAATAGAGAAATACAGCAAGAGAAAATAATGGAAGTAGGAAGAGCTTTGACCATCTTATCAAACATGGGCCAAGAATAGCCAAAGTACTTATGGGAACAATGCAGTGAAATCAGGATACTGCCAAAATGAGGACACAGGACTGCTGAGAGCAGAGTCCACCTTGAGTTTTTCCAAGTTGAGGACCCAAATAGTGTGTAACCCAAAAAAGCGACCCCTTTCTAGAATGCCCCAGGCTGAAAAGAGGAGAACCAGGTGGGGACTGATCCAACGGCTACCTAGACAGCCTTCCCACAGAGCACTTGGCAAGATTCATCATCTGCCAAAAGGTCTGTTCTTTCTAGGACTGCAACTAGCTCATACAGTGCTTTTGTGCAAATCCCCCTCTGGGGAGATGCAGCCCCACAGGTGCACAGCTTGGCAAATGGAACACAGGTTAGATTTCGGCCCCCCACTTACCCCCTCCACCCAGTGCTCTTGTGCAGTGAACAATCTGCTCAACCATAGGGAGCAGCTCTGTCTCCCTCCATGCCTACTCCCATTACAGGACAGGAGATGGATTTGGATTGCAGGGTGGGCCCAGGAAGACTGGGAGTAACCTCCCAGGGGCATTCTTACCTCCTCATCTGTCATAACAGAGTAGAAGCCAGGCATTCCCAGGGGGCAGCAAATGGAATTCAGAGAGTGCCAATAGGAGGGGAAAAAGAGAAATTTACTAAAGATGCCCAGTGGACTTGGGCAAACCTGGCCCAATCCCTTCCTAGTGCAAGTGGCCCAAATAACAGCAGCTAGTATTTACTGAATGCTCACTGTTGCCAAGCACCGTGCTAAGTGTTTTTTTGGTAATAACTTGTAATAATCCTCACAATAACCCTAAGAGGGAGCCATTATTCTCATTAACAGATGAGGAAACTGATGCTTGGAGAGGTAAAATAACTTACCCAAGGTCACAGTCAGAAAATAGTGGACCCAGGGCCCAAATCCAGTTAGATAACTCGAGTTCGTACTTTACTGTGCCGCTACTCTATAGAGCTTTGCTCCCTCTGAGGAGGACTGCCCTTCTCTGCTCTTTGCTGACCATCACTAGGAGGGCTCATGCTGGTTGGGATTGGTCGGCATTCCCAGGGCTCTCTCCTCCCCAGGAACTGCTTTATCCATAGCCCTGGCCTCTGTCATGCTCATAGGGCTGGAGTATATTTTGGGCCAAAATGCTCACAGCAAGAGGTCCCTGCTGCCAAGATTTACTCCTTGAGGGCTGGTCCCCACCCTCCCCTGCCCCCAGAGAAGCCAAGAGTATAAAGGGAGCGGAGGGTCACAAGGTCTGGGGACACTTCTCTTAAGGATTCTAGAGCTGCAAGACACACTGACGGTCTCAAGGGGGAGGCCCAGACATCTCTGAAGATCCTGCCTGGGCAGCACCAATAAGTACCGCAGGTGGTAGAGTGGGGGCATGAGGAGGGTTCTGAGGAACCCGAGAAACACATGAGAAGAGTCCCCAGCCTGAATTAGGGTGAAGTCAACTCTGAGCAAGACTGTGAAGCAGGCGGTTTGCTTTGGTGTATTTTTTTTAAATCATGTGATAGGTGACCAACTAAGCTGAAAAGGCCATGAGGCTTAAATTATTCTCCATTCCAGAAGTAACTTCCTGTTAAAAGGAGACGCTTGAAAATGGAAAAGATCCCAAGCCCCCAAAGAAATGACTCTAATGGTGAAATTTTCAGCAAGATGAGAAGTTCCTCGGCTTCTTCAGGTCAAAATCCCAGCATTTATCTCCTAAACGACCCAACTCTGTAGATACATAGATGCCACTCCTCACCTGTCCTCCCATCCCCCAAGCTCCCACAGTGGACCCATAGGAGGGAAAAGCACAGACCTTTCAGCCACCAGATGACACGATTGTACATTTCCTCTGAGACATCTGAAAGTAACAGAGAGATGGTTGCTTTTCTTCTCTCTGTGGGATGCACATCCCACCCTCCACTACTTGCAGCTCCCTTTCTAGCTCCACATTTCTCCACCCAAAGGTGCCCTCAGCCCTTGGTCCTCTCCAAGAAGCTCCTCCAGCCTAGAACTACATATCATATACCCATTCTCCCTTTCCCTTTTTTACACCCTCTCTCTGTGCCACTGTGAATGCCTTTCCCCTCCTGGAATCCCAGCTCATCTGCACCCCACCCTCTCCACTTTGTAGTCAGAGTATTTACCAGAGGCCCTTATTCTATTTAACAGCCCTTACCGGCCCTCACCCCAGCTCAGTTCTTCATCCCCACTCAGGAAGCAGCTTTCAACCCTGCAAGCCCTCTCTACTACCTTCAATTGAAAAGGTAAGCAGTGTTGCCTGGAGGAATCAATGCCTGTCACCCGGCCCAAGCATCATCATCGATGTCATTAGCTTGGAGCACAGAGAAGCTGGCAGGGAAGGAATGGAGCAATAGGCTCAAGGATAGGACTAGCTTTGGCACTGGCAGGAGAGCAGCCCTTATTCCCAGAATGAAGAGGTGGTCTTTCCTGCCCACCCCAACATCCCATCTCACTAAATTGGGGCTGCACCTGGGCAGTCTGCTTCTTCACATACCCAGGAAGAAAGCACTAAACCTTTGAATGGGTTGTTTGCAGGTGTGCTTGGGGGTCTGTGGCACTTTATTCAGTGGTGCCCAACTTGGAAACTCCTTTGGTGGTGACGGTGGTGATAGGCTTGCCTTCTCTCTCTGGAACTTCAGATCCTCACAGAAAGGGCTAGAGTCTATTTTAAAACCGGACAATAAAGGATCTAGGGAAGGAGAACACTTAAGCTCAAAATCAGGTGTTGTCGGCTGGCTTTGGGGTGTTTCAACTTCAGGATTCAGCAAGGGCCACCATGAGGAGTCAGGTCCGTACCTAGGTAAGGACCGAGGAGGCAAGGGCCGAGGGGTCAGTTCCAGTTCTGCATGGATGGAGGGCTTTTGCGAGAGTTCTGGATACCTGGGTGTAGGTCCTTGGGACATGTAGGTAGTTTCTGGGGGTTTTGGGGTTTGCTGTTTATAGATGGGCTCTGGAGTGACAAACATGGATGACTTGTGGGAGCCCTCAGACACTGACTGAGCTGTCACACGGTGAGTTGGCTCTACTGACTGTACCCCTGGGGAGATGGTGACCCTGCGGCCAACCTCGTTGTTTCCTCGGATTGGGGCCCTCACATTGGACTCCACCTGTGATGATACTAAGACCTTTGCGGAGGGCTTGGTTTCAGGATAGACAGAATACTTGTGAAGAGACTCAGGGTCTACCCGTGTAGAAACTCGGTGTACACCATCAGAATCTTTAAGGACAGAGAGTTTGAGTGATGAGTCCAAGTTCATATTCCTATACAAGGCCTTGGGTTTTGAAGGAATTGAACTGTAAGGACCTGTTTCTGATTCTTCTACAGGGACCTTTCTCTGGGCTGTCTGATAGTCTGCAGAGACACAGCTGCTTCTGTGCTCTGGGCGAGAGGGACTCCTTGGAGATCTGATCTCGCTAGCAGTCGTAATCCTTTGGATGGGCTCAGTTTGTACTGCTTCATCCTTTGGGTAAGTCAAAATCCTACGGGGAACTCTGACTCCTTGGGGGTTCTGGACCTTGGATGGTGGGTCATCTTGTAAGATTTGTGATTGTAAGTTATCCTTCTGATCTTGAAAACTCAACCGACGAGTAGATTTGGCATCTGGGATTGATGAGGCATGATGGCCGACCTCACGCCCTGACTTGCTCTCACCGCCTCTTCGTGCTGCTTCCTCTCCAGGTGGACTAACATTCCGTAGTCTGCTTGAAGCATGGGAAGCCAGTGTCTGAGTTTGCTGGTTCTTTCTAGGAGGAGAGGAATGGCGGGATGATTCTGTTCTTGGTCCAGTCTCGGTTACCCGAGGAGTGGGTACCGCATAGTGTCCAGGCCCTGACTGGAGGGAGACAGATCGAGGATAGTCTGATGCCGAATGGGGAGTGGTGGGATGTGCAGCTTCTGATCTTCGGTGGGAAGGGTTCAGGGAGACTGCAGCACTTCGATGGCTTGAGGCAAGAATGTACCCATGTCCCCGCTGAGGGGATGTGTTAGTAGTAACCTCAGACCCTCTCTGTGCTGAAACTGCTACCTTGGCCCCAGGTTTATTTGTCTTGACCATCTGATAGATTGTGCCTTTCTGAGTAGATCCCATATTTTACTGGCTCGCTTGTATTCAGGATCCTAATGATGCCTGAATATTTACCCCGTTTTAAAGCTGCTGTTCTTGGGCTCCCACAAAAGTGGCTGTTGTTCTAAGAGTGTCTCAACTAGTCCCCTTAGCTACCTGTCTGTCTGGTGATGTCATAAAGGAGGGAGTTTCCTTCCTATTAAACATCCTAGTGTACAGTCACAATTCTTTACAGAATCCCAAAGAAGTACCTGAAAGGAATCTGTGAATTTCTCTTTGGAGTTATATCACCAAGCCTTTGGCAAGTTTTTAACAAAACTGGGATTTCCTTGTATATAGAGAAGGCTCCAGACCCTCCTTTACTCTCCCCAGATTCTAGAAATTCTCAGGGACTCATCCAGAGAAGGAATCAGCCAGAAGATCCTATGAAGACAAGGTCAAACCAAACACACTGTGTAAGCCCCAGTTTTAATAAGGTACAAAGTACAAAGTTGCCCCAATTTTGTTTGAAACTGTACTGTATACAAGTTAAAAAAAAAGAAAAAAGAAATAAAAGAGAGCTTCAGCTTTTTCCAGGTCTCATGGATGGTTTCATTGCTCCTGGGGTAAAAATCCAGGTTGCTCAAATAATAAAATTCTCACATTCTTGGTCCAGGAGAGTTTGGTGTTTTATTAATAAAGGGATTTGCCAGGTGCAGTGGCTCACACCTGTAATCCCAACACTTTTGGGAGGCCGAGGTGGGTGGATCACCTGAGGTCATGAGTCTGAGATGGCCTGACCAACATAGTGAAACCCCATCTCTACTAAAAATACAAAATTAGCTGGGTGTTGTGGCGCATGCCTGTAATCCCAGCTACTTGGGAGGCTGAGGCAGGAGAATCGCTTGGACCTGGGAGGCGGAAGTTTCATTAAGTAAAGATTGCGCCATTGTACTCCAGCCCGGGCAATAAGAGCGAAACTCCATCTCAAATAAATAAATAATAAATAAATAAATAAATAAAAGTGATTTGGGGCCGGGCAAGGTGGCTCACGCCTATAATACCAGCACTTTGGGAGACCGAGGCGGGTGGATTGCCTGAGGTCAGGAGTTTGAGGCCAGCCTGGCCAGCAAGGTGAAACCCCGTCTTTACTAAAAATACAAAAAATTAGCCAGGCATGGTGGCAGGTGCCTGTAATCCCAGCTACACGGGAGGCTGAGGCAGGAGAATCGCTTGAACCCGGGAGGTGGAGGTTGCAGTGAGCTGAGATTGCACTATTGCACTCCAGCCTGGGTGACAAGAGCAAAACTCCATCTCAAAAAAATATATATAAATAAAAAGAAAATAAAAGGGATTTGGGCTGGGTGCAGTGGCTCACGTTTGTAATCCCAGCACTTTGGGAGGCTGAGGTGGGCGGAGGTCAGGAGTTTGAGACCAGCCTGGCCAACATGGTGAAACCCCGACTCTACTAAAAATACAAATATTAGCCCGGCGTGGTGGTACGTGCCTGTAATCCCAGCTAC